AAGTCCTGCCTCCGTGTCTGCACATCTCCCCGCACCACCAGGAGCAGTGGTAATGAGACTTAGCCGTGAAACGCCACCATTGTGGAAATGCCTTCCAATGCTCATTCAGAGAGGAAAGTACTTAAATTAATGTTTGCAGCCTGGCAGAAGCAGAGCACGGGAACCGAGATAGCCATCAAAATGTGGTCTGCAAGGCACTGAGACTCCACGGAGGCTACGATGGGGATCACAGAGTCATATTAAACAGCCAAGCCTATAACATTTTCAGCTGCAAAGCTGTCTTTCAATTAAAAGGCAAAGAAAAAGATGCAATTAGATGGTCTGTCAGTAGGAAGCATGAACAACAGTAGAACAAAGAATTTGACCGGGCTTGGTCAACATTTATTAAAAGCTGATTTTGAAAGGGAAGGTGGCAATACTGCACAGATAAACGGGGGTGGCACACTGGCATTATAGTTACTAGGAGAGCAGTGAGACAAAGGCCATCACAAACCTCCTTCAAAGAGGAAAAGAAAGAGATCTATTGAGCTAAAAAATTCTTCTATGCAAAATATTAGAAGCAACACATCAACTGGAACATTAACTCTGGAAAATATATAATAGTGGCCCGTATTGTATTTGACCTCCTGGGTAGGTTAGATGGACTAAAATGATTTTCCCCTTCCCCAGCTTCTGAGATGCTCTAATTCAAGGATAAACACATACATATTGTCCTGGTTTCGGTTGGGATAGAGTTAATTTTTTTTCTTCTAGTAGCTGGTATAATGCTGTGTTTTGTGTTCAGTATGAGAATAAAGTCAATAACACCCTGATGTTTTAATTGTTGCTGAGCAGTGCTTATCCTGGTCAAGGACTTTTCAGCTTCCCATGCCCTGCAATTGAGAAGCTGGGAGGGGGCACGGCCAGGGGAGCTGACCCAGACTGGCCCAAGGACTATTCCATACCCTATGGCATCGTGCCCAGTATAGGAACTGGGGGAGCTGGCCGGGGGGCAGCGATTGCTGCTCGGGGACTGGCTGGGCATCGGTCAGCGGGTGGTGAGCAATTGCATTGTGCATCTTATTTTGTATCTTCTTCTTCTTCTTCTTCTTCTTCTTATTCTTATTCTTATTATTATTATTATTATTTTCCCTTCCTTTTCTGTCCTATTAAACTGTCTTTATCTCAGCCCACAAACTGACTTTTTTTTTCCTGATTCTCTCCCCCATCCCACTGGGGAGGGGGGGAGTAAGCGAATGGATGTGTGGTGTTTAGCTGCCTGCCGGGTTAAACCACAACAAGATGGAAGAAAAACATGTTGACATGTCAGCACGGAGCTTCTTCCAAATGAACAAAAAACGAGAAAACAAATCTTATTTAAAGCTTCACAGAAAAATCTGTTTCCCACTGTAACAGCTCCCTGGTGTGCGAAGGGCCACACTCAGTGAATGAGTTGATCAGCAAAACATGTCAGTGAGGCAAGCATAGCAAATCAGTAACGGCCGTCTCTTGAATTACAGCCTGACTGGAGCACTGCTGGCCTAGAGCTGTCCTTAGCCCCGCTGAACTGCCCCACGGTGAGGCCAACAGCCATCAAAATACACCGTATCGCCGGCACGCTACCAGCGCACGCAGACCAGGGAGCAGGGGCTTTCAGCGCCCTCACCCTTCTGAGCACCTCCGAGCTGGGGCCAGCTTTCCACCACAGCTCCTGCTGTTCAGGCACCGTGGAATTGCCAGCTGGGCCAGCGGCTGGGTGCCCTACAGCTACGCTACCGAGTCGGTCTCCAGGTGAATCCTTCTAGTTCACCTTGGTGTTAAATTGCAATGACGGCATCGTCGTGCAGCAACGGAGTAACCAGTTCTCTGTTGGCTTGATGGCGATGTGCCCGTCTACCGGCAGTCACTGCACCGCTCTCTTACGCAGCCAAGTCTTGCACCCCCCACTGTCAGGGCATTTCCAGGAGGGCAAATCCATTGCCCTGACAATCAGCTGTCTGCAGGGCCTATCTCTTTCTTCCGATGATTTGTCTGAGATGGTGTGGAGTTAACAGGGTTCAGGCTGTTTTCAGGGAAAGATGCAGTCTTTCCCTCACATAGCCTAGGTACGAATACTCAAGAATAGTTAAACTTCCATTGCTGTCAATATTCAGCACCTGTTAATCCCCAAACCTTCCAGGTTAAACCATCCCAACACGGTCAGACAATCTTACCATCACGGGAGATAATCTGGCTCCTCACGGCTCCTTTCCCCACCCACAGAGTCCTGAGCCACCCATTCCTGCCGCTGGCCGTGTGCCAGCACTGTCCCTCTGCCTGCTCAGAGACCTGGTTCAGGCCGTTAAACGGGCAGCAAACAGCCCGCTCTCCGTGGAGTCACTTCCCTGCCCATTTAACTCCCCCAACCACGCGTGCAGGCAAGCAGCAATGCAAAAGAGGCTCCGTACAGAATAAGATGCAATTATAGAATTAATTGTAATTAATTACAACAGCTAAATCTATGTGATGCTCAAGTATTAACAAAATTAATATACGGAATGATACAGAGAGGGGAGAACAGGACAATTTCACTATTTTTGGTAGTAACTAGCCTCTGGATTGACTATAAGCCGTGTCCTTGCTTGCGTGTATAGCAGGGTTTGGTAATCCTGATAAAGTTACCCGTGCTGCTGGCAATGCTGCATTCATAACGAGGAAGAAAATATGCTGCTTCAAGCTACATAAAGGCCCTTTGCAAACCAGTAGCTTAAATATAATTGTGCCGGAATTACTCCGCTGGTTTTCCTGCGTAAGGTGAGCAGCTCTGTGAACAGTGAGAAAGTTCAAAACCAAACCAATCCATAGCTGGCAATTACTGCAAACACCCATACCAACCAGGCCCATTAAAAGTAATTGGGAGCCATGTAAATGATGTTCTACCATTAACCTGGCTCAGTTATTCAGAGCTGGTGTGTCAGGCTTTTTAGCAGCCACAAAGGCAGCATTGCCGGATGCTTTTTCTGAGAAAAAATGATAAAGGGGAAAAAAGAAAGCACGCTGCCATGTAACTCCATGTTGTGCCAGACCAAAAGGAGCACTCATAAAGAAACGATCCAAAAAGACTCTCTAAAAAAAGGGGTCGCTCCTCTGTGCTTTTAGAGGTCTGGTTTTATACACAAGGACTTGTGCAACTCAGTTGTTCTGTCCCTCTGAAACCAGTTCTCACCCTTTCTACAGTGTTTTAAGACCTCAGTCTTAAAACTTTGGCCAGATTCTGCTCTCGGGTTTGCACGGGGCCCCACTCCACTGGAGGGAAGACCTGGATCTAACTGTGCCTTCTGGCTGGGGGGTTACTCCTGCCCCGTGAGCTGTGCTCAGCTTGAAGGAGATGGGTAAGCCAGGGCTGGGGACGGGCTGGGGACACGTCCGCCTCTCCTGGGCGGGGGGCCCAAGGCATCACTTACCGAACGACCGCTGTTTAGCGGTCTGGACGGAAAGGCTTTCTGGTTCACTACTAGCTGAGAGGAGCACACGTGGGAAAACTCCTTCAGAAAACAGGACTTGGAGGAGAGGCCGACTGCAGTTTTCAAGGAGCGCCAAGGATACAGGCACACCCGCTCCATTGGGTCCACGGGGATTTGGGAATCAAATGTCTTCAGGTCTCTTTGAATATCGCAGGTGGGAACCAGAAGACTCCTTTCTCCCGCGAGCTGACTTATAGCCTTTATACACGACCTGTGTGTCTCCTTCCGTTACTTTTAAAAAGCCCATCAGCATATCGCCTCAGCACGTGGAGGTGGGAAACCGCAACAGCAAGATGTCACAGGGAGGGTTAAGGTGTGGGGGGGAATAATATTACCTTTAATAGGGCCACCGTCCGCCTTACTGCCTGCAGCGGTTCTGTCACACCCCTGCCGCTGGACACGGCGTCTGCTGGCTGGGGGCTCCCGGCAGGTGTCATTTACCCTGGGCCGTGGAACAACCTTAATTTCTGCCAGCGTCCCTGAAGCAGTTCCAGATTTATTCCAAGGCAAGGGGAGAATCTGATCCTAACTTTTTGAAAACAAATGAGTTTACTGCACCCTAAGAATTTTCAAACATGACGCATCCATCAGTTTTCCTTGCTGACTAACTTTTGGCAAAACGTAACTGTCAAAACTTTTTAATTTAAACCAAATTGTTTGTGATTTGTTCCAAGCCGCATATTAAACATCAGTGACAAAAGTTTCCGCGCGGGCTTTGTGGGCTCACACACATAGCTACCCTGCGACCTACACCAAGGAACAGCCCTGGAGCCTGGAGGAGCTTAAATCCACCGAGGCAAGGGTGTGAAAACACAGCTGGGCCCCGCGGCCTCCACTGCCGCAGTAAATCCCACTGTGCCCCTCTGCACGTCCCGCTGGCCTTAAAGTCTTTAGAGGTGAAATCGTGAGCTCTCCTTCTCAATGCAGTTCTTTTTTGGCACTAAAAATCGCTCTGAGACAAGGACAGTTTGGCATATTTTCCCTGTCTGCCCATCGAGCTCTTAAAAAATTAAGTTATTAATCATCTAAACATTCACCTCCGCTGCGCTAAGGCTTTCTGGCCAGAAAGCCCCATAGGTGGTTATTTCAAATATGACTCTGCTTCCATTGAAGACTGTTGAATTAAAAAAAATCTGAAGGATGGACAAATGCACCTTGTGATAATTACTGCCTAGCACTCTACTTTTAAAGCAGCCAGCTGAGCTTCTAGTTTATATTTCACTAATTTGCTTACTTGGTAAAAAAAAAAATAAAAATCCTCCCTCTTCATGTAGGTTATCTGAGGTTACTCATACAGCAAAGCATTGCTTGCAGGGAGGAAGAGAAGTTTGCAGCAAAATTGTTTGTAACGGATGAATCAATGGAAAAAGTTAGTAACTGGGAGTGTTCTCTCTTTTTTTTTTTCCTGTCTCGCAGTTGCTATTAGTGCCGGCCTTTAGGGTGTAGCTTTCCTCTTGGGCTTCTGTGTTTGTTTTACGTATTGCTTTCCTCTTCCTTTTGGTCAGGAGCCTTTTTATGATCAGGCAAGATAATACTGAGCAGCAGCACCGAATCTGCAGGACAAAATGAGCCTTTGCTTTAAATATCCAAGAGACAAATGGAGGTAAGTAGAAACAAATGGATTAAGCTGTTCGGGCTGGGGAATTGCTGTCAGTTCGTTATTCGGAGGTTACTAACGACTAGTACGTTGGATTTGTTTTGGGTTTTTTCCCCTATTTGACTGCAATGTTAAGAATTTAATTAAAGTCCGGCATGGAAATATACTGAAGTTGTAATTGCGTTCAGGCCTTTGGTAAGGATTAGAGTTGGTTAGGACAGAAATCCTTTAGGCAGCGTTTCCTAGGCCTTCGTGGCAGACCTTGAACACATTTTCACTCCTCCTTTGTCCCCATCTTGCAAAGTGTCTCTGTATTTCTGATTTACTGTGCACACTGTACCTAATCAGAGAGTTTATCCTGCTCCTATTATCTTCCCGTATTTCATATATATTACAGAGGTTGCATTTGCTCCGCTGTATTGAATCCTATTATAAAAGCAGGGCGCAGAGGGCAGTTTCTGGACGCACAATGAATCTCTGTAGCTAATAAAATATAGCACCTGCTCTGCTGGAAGTATCAGTGTGAAGCCGGAGTTGACAGAGTAAGTGATCCCACTTCATAATCCTATAATGTTGATACAATTTGGTGGTACCGGCGTAAAAGAGATACTGAGAGCTAAGCTGGACTTTGAGATAAACTGAAAATGGTGTCTTTAAAGGAAAACCACTCAGTACAGGATTTGATGACATGCAGATCTTTTACTCATAGGGTGTCATATCTGGCAGTTAGGTGGATGAAAATAGTCTTGTGTTGTACAAAGGTGGAGAATATTTCAGTTTAGAGAAGAAAGGCGTGCGTGTCCAAATAAGACTCCACATGTGCATCAAGAGCAGGCAATAAAAGACTAAATATTCTTGACACCTTTTCTTTCTGTTTTCTAAATTATCTTTTAAGAATCTTGAAATTTCCTGAGATGGAGGTTTTTTTCTGTACTGTTCAGTGAATACTTCTAATATCAAACCTTAAGTTACACTAGTTTTGCATGCACACTATGATATGGTATGATATGGTTTTGGTCTCCAACTGCATTATCATGGTTTTTAGAGCCAGGTTTCCAGACTCAACTGCCAAAAAAGAAATCAGTGTTATTTACTGTTTGCTGGTCTTTCCATCTTAGGTCTATTTAAAAGTTTTCTAGGAAAATATTGATAGCAAACAATTGCGGGTCAGAGACCACAAAGTTAAGTTCATATATGAAATAGAATGAACATTTTCCCAAAATATTTTGCAGGATCTACAAACTTTTTAGATTAGTTTCTTCTTCTGTTCACATAGACCAGACACTATGCTCCCTCATGGTGTGAAATACCAGAAAGGAGAGTCGCATTTTGATGCGTGAAGGTTAACTTGTGAGAGGACGTTAGCTCTGCAAGGGTGTTAGAGAGGGACGACCTTGAACTGGGGACATTTTTTTTCTGTTGGTCACATTGCCTCTGGCTTCTCCCGTTCTCCTCCTGCCTGACCTCCTCCCCCATGTAGACCCGAAGCTCCGTGGGGCAGGGACCTTCCCTGACTGGGTGTTCGTACAGTGCATGCAAGTGTCTTGCTCTTACATAGCAGCATGGCACAGATAATAAATCAAATGTGCTGGCTTTATTCATGCCTTTCCATAGCAAAAAGTTCACTAAAGTTGATGGAAGTTTTTACATGGCAGTACCAGACCTCAAAGCGTGACTGTCAGTTCATTGGTTTCATGGAAACGCTGAGTTAAACTGCATTTATGTTGGCAAATCCATGCCCAGAGAGCTGACTCACTCTGTGCAAAGCAGCAGCTATGGCTCCTTTGAACATTTGCTTTTCTCTCCTTCCTCCTCCTTCCTCTTCCTTCCTCTTCCACCAAGGCCTCCGATATGCTTCTTGCTACAGGTGTTTGCTTTTCATACACTGCACTGAGGCAAAAACAGAGGCAGTCACACTTCCAAGCTATCAGACTGATAACAAGGGAAGAGAGGGAAAGTCCTGTGTCAGGAACAAACCCAGAAGACAGGCCTGGGTTATGTTTATAACCTTGAACCACTGATACAGACAAAGAAACGGGGATGTAGGATCATTATTAACCTGTATAGTTATTTTCACACCCTGATTTTAAACTCACTTATACCAGTGAGTATTTCTACCAGCTTTTCAGTTTCTGGTTTTTGCACAGCTTGAAATGCTGCTCACAGCCTGGGTAAAACCTGAAGGGGCAGGGTTTGGACACATGGCAATAACCTGCTGCAGTCATCAAAGCCACATGGAGGTACTCGAGGTGAAGTAGGACCGGTCACCCCTTCTCTCCTGAACTCTCAGCTAGAGCACAGACCTTGGATTTCTGCTGTGAGCAGTTCATAGTCACAAATCCCTCTGCTCCTCACATTTTGCCCTGAGGTATTCTAGCTGGATTTCTAAAATAAAAAGGCAGAATCATGCTAATTGTAGAATCCAGAGGCTAAGAAAAATAATGTTCAAAGGAGTACACAAAACAATATCCACCTGTAAAGTAAAAATATGCTGGGAGTCAGTGGAGAATAAAAAGAAAGAAACACTAGAGCAGCCAACTAGAAGAAAAAAGCCAGCACAATACTCGGCAGTCACAGAAAGATCAAAAATAATATAAAACTACTCTGAAACCTCTCAACTGGAATACACTGCAGAAGAGCTGACTGGTCCCAAAGAAAGCTGCAGAATGGCACGGTGAAGTCAGCAGGCTAATTTGAACAGCAGATACCTTAAAAACAGGGAAAAAACATTCCTATAAGTAACATCTGAAATGTCAGAAAGTAAATTACTTTCCAAAGAAAAACATTGGGAATGGGCAAAAACTGATTTTGAAAATCTTCCATCCAGTTGTCTACTAACCACTGCTGGATATTTGAGAGCCATTTAAATCATTTCTCAAGATCATTAAAAAAAAAAAAAAGTTTGCTTTTCCATCCCCTCAATTACAGAAAACCATCACATCTTTCTATGTTGAGAGCTGGTGATGAATGTCATGTCACGTATCACTGCCTCTGCATCTGACAGGAATCAAAGCAGAGATTTTGAAAGGCAAGTGTCTTTGAACTGCTAATTCTGCTTAACAAAGAAAGTGTTTCAGTTGTATAATGAAATTTCTGCTTTTACCCGAAAGGTTTTTCTGCCACCTTATTTCTGGACAGTATGAAGCTATGTTGAAACCAACAGCAATCTATTTATTTCTGATTATACTGTGATGTTTAAAAAAGTGGGAAAAACATCCAGTGTTTCTTACATATCCAAAGCTTCTGGTGATGTGTTGAGAAACACTGGCAAAGGTGACCCTCTGATAGATATTTTGTTCTTTTGGATACGCGTGCAGACATTAAAAAGCATCTGTGAGAGTTCTGAGTGTGAGAGTAGGATTTTAGCTCAATTTCTCTGCCCCTCAGGAATTTCTCCTCTTAATTTCTTCCTCCTCAGCTCTCTCTTTGTGGCCTCATTCTGAGAGGGATTTAAAAGCTGCACTCAACCAAATCTCCTCAAACAACAGCAATTACCAAACAGGAGGATCAGTCAGGAGAGAGAAAAAGAGAACAAGTGGTAGGCCAGCAATTCGGCATTGGCTCTAATTCCACCACATTCAAGTACTTTGGATAAGGTTCAAAAAAACCCAGCAAAAACCAACCAAACAACAAACACCCAGACTTCAGCACAACCCCTCAGAGCCTCAAATCTTTTGACTTGCATCCTTCTCTAATTGTAATGCTGCTTCAGTAAGGCCAAAAAGTGAAACGCTAGGAGTCCTGGGCGAGGAAGCAAGTAATGTGTATGTGTCTGCACTGCTGGGCACAGGGAGTTTTGATCTGCCAAAGAAGAGGTTGTTTTGTATGGTCAACATCAGGCTATATCTTGCACATTAGGAAGCTTCAGGCGAGGAAAATACTGGAATATGAGGCTGTGAAGAAAGCCCAACTGATACAGAGAGCTGCTAGTAAGTCAGGAATTGACGGTAAAACCTGCAGTGCCTGATATGGGTAAACACGTTTTAGACTGTTACTCTCTATCACTGGAATCATGGATTTTCCCAGTGTTTAGCGGGGCAGATTCAGAATTATTCTTTAAAAGTTTAATATTCTCTGATTTATGTTCCATGAACTGAAGAAGGGATTACAAGCTTTGTGCTAGCTCTTCAGACAGTGTAACACAGCATAAGTTCAAGAGGATTGATTCTTATTTTCCTTAAAGCTACTTTAAAACAGCTTTACACATACGGGCTGAATAAAAATGACAGTCAGGCCTATTAACTAGTTTACAATTGCTCCTTTCCGTTGCCAGTTTGTCCCCATCTTCCTGTGAAGTACACAGACGCAGAAAAAATGTGTAAAACATATTATAAATAGTACAATTCAGAAACTGCATAAATGGTAGTGTTCAAGAGTCAATTGCTCTTCATCAGTGAGAGGGCATTCAGAGACACTGCCATGCAGCAGAGCCGGGATTACCTCTGAATTGCCTCTTCTGTGGAAACCTCTTCCTGCTCGGTTATCTCATCCATTTACAAACAGTTTTCCTTTCCACCCCCTTGCAGTCCCTGCAAGAGCGTTTAGGAGTTCAGCTAATTTGACTGGGATTAAGATGTGGACATTTGATATTAAAAAAAGAATCCATACTGTGCTGACAGTATGCTTGCACGTCCCTGCTACTCTAGCACTGACTGGTTTGAGCACTATGAGGGTGCCAGCTTGGTAGCACGGGTAGGGTGCTAGGTTGCAGGAAGCGATTTGGTGCGATTTGAATGAAATCGCTAATAGGGCACTACATGGGAGCTTCCCAGTACGCGCCTGGGAAATAGCAGAACGGTGAAAGAAACATGAACGCAATAGAGTAACTTTCCTGTAAACTCTGAAATTATGTATGTTGGGAGAGGCTGAGGACAGCTAAAAAGAGTGCAGATGGGATGTATAAAGGGTTATGGCCATGCTTTGTCGCTGTACAGACTAAACAGCCCCGGTACGTTCATTACAGCAAGCAGGCAGCGGGACAGCAACACCCTCTGCTAGGATGCGTG